AGGAGGTGGGGAGGCTGGGGAGAGATAAGATTAGGAGAAATACCTAATGTAGGTGAAGCGGGGATGGAGGCAGAAAACCATCATGGTGTGTGTATACCTACGTAACAGTCCTGCACAAGTACCCCAGAACTTAAAGTATAATTTAAAAAAAAAACCATTGGTAAAACAAATAGCACCTGAAAACATGAAATATTCAGAAATAAATTTAACAAAGCTGTGCACAATTTGAAAGTGAAAACACTATGGGGAGAAATTGTGTAAGACTTACATAAATAAGGAACCATACCATATCTATAGATCAAAAGAATCAACATTTTTAAGACATATTAATTTCTAAATTAATCTGTATATTCAATTTAATCTGAATCACAAACTGACAAATTGATTCCAAGATTTATATGAAAATATAAATGTCCTTCAAAGTCAATATTTTTGATAGAAAGAGTAAAGTGGCTGGGTTTATATTAGCTGATTTAATGACATTTAACTCAGCTTCAGCATTCAAAGGAGTGTGGTATTGTTTTAAGGACAGACATAAAGAATTGACTTTACTTTGTGCCACATGCAAAAATGTAAAAGTGCAATGCATGAGACTTCCAAATATTAAAACTAAATCTATAAAACTATGGGAGTATAGATAGGAAAATAGCTTCAAAGTTTAGATTATACAACAGTAATTTTGGAAAATAATGAAAAACACTAACTTTATGGTTTGCATTTAATAAAAGTTCAATATAATTGGACTTCATCAAAATTAAAGCTTCTGTTCTTCTAAAGACACAGTTAAAAAAATAAAAATACATGACACACATGGAGAGAAAACATTCACAATACCTACATCCGGCCAGAAGGCATAAAGAACTGTTACAACTGAAAAAAAAAAAAACGTAGTAAATTGGGCAAAAGATATAAAAAATACTTATCACCAAAAAAGCTATACAACTAACCAATAAACACAGAATAAGATGCTCAAAATTATTTATTATGAGAAAATGTGAATTAATACCATAATGAAATACCACTACACACCATTTCAAATGGCTAAAAACCTGGGAATACTAAGCGTTATAAGGACACAGAGGAACTGAAATTCCCATGCACTGTTGGGGAGGATGTAACATGGTATTCTATTCAACACTCTCTTATAAAATTAAGCATGCACCTGCCACACAACCCAGCAATTCCCATCCTAGAGATTTACCTTCTAAAATAAAAATCTATGTTTATCCAAAAACTCATCCACAATTATAGCATGTTTATTCAAAAATAGCCCAACACTGATACAAACCTAAATTTTTATTATATAAATGAATAAACACAATTGCTTATCCATAAAATTTAGTTGTTCTCAGTAACAAAGAGAAATTAACTACAGATATATATATAAGAACATGAATGAATCCCAAAATAATGATGGTGTGTGAAAAAAATCAGACATATGAGGACATACTGTATGGTTTCATTTTATGAAATTCTACAACCTGTAAAACTAATTTATATTGACAAAAACAAAAATAGATCAGCAGTTCCATGGAATCGAAAGTGGCAAAAGAAATGATTGATTGAAATAGACACGGTTGTAATTTTGATTATGGTAATGACTGCATATATTTGTCAAACTTTATTAAACTACACATTTATAACAGGTTCATTCTCTTCTATGTAATTCTCACCTACACTGAAGTTTATTTCAAAAAACATGATTCCATAATGATGAAAAAAAGAAAAAGTAAAACTTATTTATTATGATTAAAGATAACCATTATTCATCTCTTAGCCTAAGAAGAAGTAATAAAGAAAAATAACTTACAGGAATAATTAGGAAAGAAGGAAGTCAAATTGTCTCTATTTGCAGACAACGTGATTGTATACTTAGAAGACCCCATCATCTCAGCCAAAAATCTCCTTAAACTGATAAGCAACTTCAGCAAAGTCTCAGGATACAAAATCAATGTACATAAATCACAAGCATTCTTATACACCAATAACAGAATTCAAGAGAGCCAAATCAAGAATGAACTGCCATTCACAAAAAGAATAAATACCTAGGAATACAACTAACAAAGGATGTAAAGGACCTCTTCAAGGAGAACTACAAACCACTGCTCAAGGAAATAAGAGATGACACAAGCAGATGGAAAAACATTGCATGGTCATGGTTAGGAAGAATCAATATTGTAAAAATGGCCACACTGCCCAAAGTAATCTATAAAGATTCAACGCTATCCCCATCAAGTTACCATTGACCTCCACAGAGCTGGAAAAAAACACCTTAAATTTCTTATGGAACAGAAAGAGAGCCTGCATAGCAAAGACAATCCTAGGCAAAAAGAGCAAAGCTGGAGGCATCACACTACCTGACTTCAAACTATACTACAAGGCTACAGTAATCAAAACAGCATGGTACTGGTACCAAAACAGAGATATAGACCAATGGAACAGAACAGAGGCCTCAGAGGCAACGCCACACATCTACAACCATCCAATTTTTGACAAACGTGGCAAAAAAACAAGCAATGCGGAAAGGATTCCCTGTTTAATAAATGGTGTTGGGAATACTGGCTAGCTATGTGCAGAAAGCTGAAACTAGACCCCTTCCTGACACCTTACACTAAAATTAACTCCAGATGGATTAAAGGATTATGGATTTATGTTTAGAAGACCCCATCATCTGAACCCAAAATCTCCTTAAACTGATAAGTAACTTCAGCAAAGTCTCAGGATACAAAATCAATGTACAGAAATCACAAGCATTCTTATATACCAATAACAGACTTAAACAGAGCCAAATCCAGAAATGTAAGGTCTAACACCAGAAAAAACCCTAGAAGAAAACCTAGGCAAAACGATTCAGGACATAGGCATAGGCAAGTACTTCATGACTAAAACACCAAAAGCATTGGCAACAAAAGCCAAAATAGACAAATGGGATCTAATTAAACTCCAGAGCTTCTGTACAGCAAAAGAAACAATCATTAGAGTGAACTGGCAACCAACAGAATGGGAAAAAATTTTTGCAATCTACCCATCTGACAAAGGGCTAATATCCAGAATCTACAAAGAACTAAAACAGATTTACAAGAAAGAAACAAACAAACCCATTGAAAAGTGGATGAAGGACATAACAGACACTTTTCAAAAGAAGACATTTATGAGGCCAACAAACATGACAAAATGCTCATCATCACTGGTCATTAGAGAAATGCAAATCAAAACCACATTGAGATACCATCTCATGCCAGTTAGAATGGCGATCATTAAAAAATCTGGAGACAATAGATGCTAGAGAGGATGTGGAGAAACGGGAACATTTTTACTCTGTTGGTGGGAGTGTAAATTAGTTCAACCATTGTGGAAGACCGTGTGGCAATTCCTCAAGGACCTAGAAATAGAAACACCATTTGACCCAGCAATCTCATTACTGGGTATATATCCAAAGGCTTAGAAAGCATTCTATTATAAAAGCACATGCACACATATGTTCATTGCAGCACTGTTTACAATAGCAAAGACCTGGAACCAACCAAAATGCCCATCGATGATAGACTGGACAAGGAAAATGTGGCACATATACACCATGGAATACGTAGCCATAAAAAAGAATGAGTTCGTGTCCTTTGTAGGCACATGGATGAATCTGGAAACCATCATTCTCAGCAAACTGACACAAGAACAGAAAAACTAATACCACATGTTTTCACTCATAGGCGGGTATTGAACAATGAGAACACATGGATACAGGGAGGGGAGCATCACACACTGGGGTCTGTTGTGGGGGAATAGGGGAGGAACAGTTGGGGGTAGGGAGTTTGGGGCGGGATAACATGGGGAGAAAAAAAAGAATTTACAGGAATTGTAGTTCTTCCTTATTTCATGAGGGAAAGTTTTTTATATGATGATCTACCTAATAAATAGAGAAGTGATGGGATTAGAAAATAAACAATTTGCTACTCACAATAAAAATTAGGTCAAGCAGGATCATTAATGAATAAATCCTAAAATAACTAGATAAAATCTGAGAGGAACTGGTTGGTCACATGGTACTGAAATGTCACCATACAGTTTCATTCCTAAAAGCAAATGGAAATGTGGACCTTTACAATGAGTAATCTGGTGGTCACCTCCAAAACTGAATGATGAACAGTAGTATCACTAGTAGTGAGGCAATCTGATATATGTACTTCTTGGCATACATGGTGCAAGAAATACCAAGCAGTGCCTAGAAATCTGCCAAAAATGATTACCAGAAACTAACCAAGACCTGGATTCCAGTCTCTGGCAAATAGAGAAACAAAAATGCACTATGAGGAAATAATCAGACAAATCCAGAATAAGCAGAGTACTACAGGACAAGTGGCTGATCTGGTCAAAAACCAACGTCAAAGAACAAAAATTAGTGTCATGAAGAAAAAGCGTGGAAGGATAATTCTAAGCTGAGACAAAAAGGGCAGTCAAAGTAATGCAGCCTATAAATCTTAATTGGGAAAAAGTGATAATAACATTACAACACAATTGAAAAAATTTAATATAGGTTGAATATCTTGTTATTAAGGTTTTATTATAAAATAGGTGTTCGGAGAAACATTCAGTAACCATGACAAGAGAATGTTGTATTGGGAGATAGAGTATTTTTAGGTATGAAGTGTCATAATATAGGAAACATAAAAATGGATCACTCAAACATGATAGATGAGAGATTAAATACTAAAAAATGATAGATGATTGATAGATACATAGATACATACATAAATGCATAGAGAGATATAGATACATAATTAGATAGCTACATGGAGAGATAGAAGATAGATAGATAGATAGATAGATAGATCGATAGATAGATAGATAGATGAAGGTAAAATATAACAGTTTTCACTACTGCCTTGGCAACATTTATCAAATTTCAAAGTGCTCTCATGTTGCTGCCTTTGTTCAAAATATTCAATAACTTAGGATTAAAGTTTAGTTGATAAAAATCAAAGAACTATTTCAAATATTTTCAGGTACAACATGGATGCAAGAAATTTTAGACATGATTCAAAATGATGGTGATGTGGAGAAATGCAAAAGAGGCAATTCTCTAGAGAGATGCCCTTTCCTTGAATTCAAATTTCCTCATAAAGAAAAAAAAAGTGAGTAATATGCACCAAGACAGAAAGGGCTTTCAATGCAAGATTCCACAACAATGTGTACTGTTTTTGACAGAGCTTCCATGGCAGCCAAAAGTAGCCTGTATCTTTCATGAGGTCAAATTGTTCACAAGCCAGTAAGTAAAACCTTAGATTGGGTCTTCAGGGCTTCCTCCTGTTCTTAGCTTGTAGCCTTTAGCTTCCCAATAAGATTTCATTCTCTTTCTCATATTTCTCCTTCCCAATGTTATGATAAAGAACACTCTCTCTCCTTTGTATTCTCCTTCATATGTTTGAATCAGTGGAAAAACCAGAAATTAGCAATCAGCTGTTATAAAAGGACAGGTGTGATTTCTGAAGAAAAAGGAGAAGTATTGAGGATATACCATGGACATTCCCAGCATTAATTGTGGGAGCTAAAAAAGTTTCCTAAGAGTGTGAAACCTAGTGAGTAACATGAAATAAAGAAAGACCTCCTAGAAGACTTTTGGAACGAAAAATGCTTTACATGTGTTTGTGATAAACAACTAGTGTCTCCAGCGGAAAAAAAATTTAACCTCTCTCTAAATTAAGACACAAATGTAAATTCAAAGATTTTCCAAGAATGGCAAAATATTGTAAAAGGATGAGTGTGATTTCTGAGAAACAAAGAAAGAGAGAGAGAGAGAAACAGAGAGGAAAAGAACAACCACATATATATTGAACATTCCCAGAATTTATTGAGGGTGATAAAGAGCTTTCCCTAGAGTCTAAAAGCTGAGAGGATAAGAGGAAATAAGCAAAAGTCTCCTAGATGGTTAGGCAGGAGTAGATGCTTTGTATGTCCTTGTGGATAAACAATTAACATTTTTAATAAAAATGAAATATAATGTAATCATTCTTTAGACAAAGATACAAATGGAATTCAAGTATTTTGGCAAAGTGGCAAGAATAAATAAACTATAAATTATTTTTTCTAGATTTGGAGATAGCTCTTGAAATGCCCTCACCACGACTTATAAAAACTCACCTCGATCCGACTTTCAAGATGGCCGCCTAAGAACAGCTCAGGACTTCAGCTCCCAGTGAAAGTGCAGAGGGTGAGTGGACGCCGCATTTCCAGACGAACTCTTATTGCCCACAGACCAGGAGATACCCAGGCAGAGGGGTCACCAGCGTCGCAGTCCCAGCCGGTGCGGCTGTTTTGGCCCCCGCGGGGCTGATTCCGCCCGCGCGGCTGCTGTGACCACTCCCTGTTGCTGCGGTTCTCCGTACAAAAGCCACTGGTCTGGGAGCCCTCTTAGCTGGCGAGCAGAGCCTTGAGACGGCAGAATAGCCCATTCATCTGAAACAGCGAGCCAGGCCAGGAGATTCCTAGGCAAAAAATCCGCCAGGAGCCGGCGCCGCGGTTCGAGCCGACTCCGTGAGTCGCAGCACGGGAGATCCCGGCACCTTTTCAACAAGCGACCGGAACGCGGGGTCGTTCAACTTAAAAGAAAAGACTCTGAGTCAGGGAGCCAGGTGATCAGGCTCGGTTGGTCCCACCCCTCCACCCCCAACAACAACCAAAACAAAAACAGTAATTGGAAACCCTCTGGGTTGAGCCCTTCAAACCAAGCACAGCTGAACCGGGACGGTCCGGCTCCGTGGGGGAGGGGCTTCCGCCATTACTGAGACTCTCCACGGCTACGGAGGCAGGCTGCCGTTGCCGAGGCAACCCGCCATTGCCGAGGCAACCTGCCACAACAGAGAGAGTCCGCCATAACAGAGGCGGGGCCACCATTGCCCAGACAGTTCTAACTACGCCCATATAAAAAGGACTACAGGGAAGAGCTCAGGGCAGCTGGGCGGAGCCCACAGCAGCTCAGCAAAGCCCCCGCGGGCAGGCAGAGGCTAGGCGTGCTGCTAGCTGGGCGGGTCCGACCTGAAAAAAAAAAAAAATCGAAAAAGGCAGTAGTGCAACGGAAACTCATAAAACTCCAACTCCCTGGGACAGAGACAGACAACAGGTGGATAAACCCACAAAAATGGGTAGAAACCAGCGTAAAAAGGATGAAAACTCCCGAAACCAGAACACCTCTCCTCCTAAAAGTGATCACAACTCCTCACCAGCAAGGGAACCAGACCGGATGGAGAAGGAGGGTGATGAAATGACAGAATCAGACTTCAGAAGATGGGTAGTAAGAAACTACAATGAGCTAAAAGAACATGTTCTAACCCATCGCAAAGAAAATAGGAACCTTGAAAAAAGATTGGACGAACTGCTGACGAGAATGGACAGCATAGAGAGGAGAATAAGTGAATTGATGGAGCTGAAAAATGCAACACGAGAACTTCGGGAAGCATGCACAAGCTTCAACAGCCGAATTGACCAAGCAGAAGAAAGGATATCAGAGGTCGAAGACCAACTCAATGAAATAAAAAGAGAAGGCAAGAACAGAGAAAAAAGCGCAAAAAGGAATGAACAAAATCTTCAAGAAATGTGGGACTATGTGAAAAGACCTAATCTACGTCTGATAGGTGTACCTGAATGTGATGAAGAGAATGAATCCAAGCTGGAAAATACTCTTCAGGATATTATCCAGGAAAACTTCCCCAACCTAGCAAGGCAGACCAATATTCAAATCCAGGAAATACAGAGAACACCACAGAGATATTCCTCAAGAAGAGCAACCCCAAGGCACATAATCGTCAGATTCACCAGGGTTGAAATGAAAGAGAAAATGCTAAGGGCAGCCAGAGAGAAAGGTCGGGTTACCCACAAAGGGAAGCCCATTAGACTCACAGCAGATCTCTCAGCAGAAACCCTACAAGCCAGAAGAGACTGGGGGCCAATATTCAACATCCTTAAAGAAAAGAACTTTCAACCCAGAATCTCCTATCCAGCCAAACTCAGCTTCATAAGTGAAGGAAAAATAAAATCCTTTGTGAACAAGCAAGCACTCAGAGATTTCATCACCACCAAACCTGCTCTACAAGAACTCCTGAAAGAGGCTCTACACACATAAAGGAAAAACCAGTACCAGCCACTCCAAAAACACACCAAATGGTAAAAAAGCAGCAACACAATCAAGAATCTGCATCAACTAACCAACAAAACAGCCAGGTAGCATCAAAATGACAGCATCAAATTCACACATAACAATACTATCCCTAAATGTCAATGGACTAAATGCCCCAATCAAAAGACACAGACTGGCAAATTGGATAAAAAGCCAAAACCCATCAGTGTGCTGTATCCAGGAAACCCATCTTACATGCAAGGATACACAAAGGCTCAAAATAAAGGGATGGAGGAAGATCTACCAAGCAAATGGAGAGCAAAAAAAGGCAGGAGTTGCAATTCTCATCTCTGATAAAATAGACTTTAAAGCAACAAAGATCAAAAGAGACAAAGAAGGACATTACATAATGGTAAAAGGATCACTGCAACAAGAAGAGCTAACGATCCTAAATATATACGCACCCAATACAGGAGCACCCAGATACATAAGGCAAGTTCTTAATGACTTACAAAGAGACTTAGACTCCCACACAATAATAGTGGGAGACTTTAACACCCCATTGTCAATATTAGACAGATCAACCAGACAGAAAATCAACAAGGATATCCAGGACCTGAACACAGACCTGGAACGAGCAAACCTAATAGACATTTACAGAACTCTCCACCCCAAATCCACAGAATATACATTCTTCTCAGCACCACATCACACCTACTCTAAAATTGACCACATAATTGGCAATAAGTCACTCCTCAGCAAATGCAAAAGAACAGAAATCATAACAAACAGTCTCTCAGACCACAGTGCAATCGAGTTAGAACTCAGAATGCAGAAACTAACTCAGAACCACACAGCTTCATGGAAACTGAACAACTTGCTCTTGAATGTTGACTGGATAAACAATGAAATGAAGGCAGAAATAAAGATGTTCTTCGAAACCAATGAGAACGAAGACACAACATACCAGAATCTCTGGGACACATTTAAAGCAGTCTCTAGAGGAAAATATATAGCAATGAGTGCCCACATGAGAAGAAAGGAGAGATCGAAAATTGACACCCTATCATCAAAATTGAAAGAGCTAGAGGAGCAAGATCAAAAAAACTCAAAACCTAGCAGAAGACAGGAAATAACTAAGATCAGAGCAGAACTGAAGGAAATAGAGACACAAAAAACTCTTCAAAAAATCAATAAATCCAGGAGCTGGTTTTTTGAAAAGATCAACAAAATAGACAGACCACTAGCCAGATTAATAAAAAAGAAAAGAGAGAATAACCAAATTGATGCAATAAAAAACGATAAAGGGGATATCACCACAGATTCCACAGAAATCCAAACCATCATCAGAGATTATTACAAACAACTCTATGCACATAAACTAGTAAACCTGGAAGAAATGGATAAATTCCTGGACACCTGCAACCTCCCAAGCCTAAACCTGGAAGAAGCCGAAACCCTGAATAGACCAATAACATGGTCTGAAGTCGAGGCAGCAATAAAGAGCCTACCACCCAAAAAAAGCCCAGGTCCAGATGGGTTCACAGCTGAATTCTACCAGACATACAAGGAGGAGCTGATACCATTCCTTCTGAAACTATTCCAGACAATCCAAAAAGAGGGAATCCTTCCCAAATCATTTTACGAGACAAACATCATCCTGATACCAAAACCCGGCAGAGACTCAACAAGAAAAGAAAATTTCAGACCAATATCCATGATGAACATAGATGCAAAAATCTTCAATAAAATACTGGCAAACCGATTGCAACAGCATATCAAAAAGCTCATCCACCATGATCAAGTAGGATTCATCCCGGGGATGCAAGGCTGGTTCAACATACGCAAGTCCATAAACGTAATTCACCACATAAACAGAACCAAAGACAAAAACCACATGATTATCTCGATTGATGCAGAGAAGGCTTTTGACAAAATTCAACAACCCTTTATGCTAAAAACCCTCAATAAACTAGGTATTGACGGAACGTATCTCAAAACAATAAAAGCTATTTACGACAAACCAACAGCCAATATCATACTGAATGGGCAAAAACTGGAAGCATTCCCTTTGAAATCTGGCACTAGACAAGGATGCCCTCTCTCACCACTCCTATTCAATATAGTACTGGAAGTTCTAGCCAGAGCAATCAGGCAAGAAAAAGAAATAAAGGGTATCCAAATTGGAAAGGAGGAAATCAAATTGTCTCTATTTGCAGATGACATGATTGTATATCTGGAAGACCCCATCATCTCAGCCCAAAATCTCCTGAAACTGATAAACAACTTCAGCAAAGTCTCAGGATACAAAATCAACGTGCAAAAATCACAAGCATTCCTATACACCAGTAATAGACTTCAAGAGAGCCAAATCAAGAACGAACTGCCATTCACAATTGCTACAAAGAGAATAAAGTACCTAGGAATACAACTAACAAGGAACGTAAAGGACCTCTTCAAGGAGAACTACAAGCCATTGCTCAACGAAATAAGAGAGGATACAAACAGATGGAGAAACATTCCATGTTCATGGTTAGGAAGAATCAACATCGTGAAAATGGCCATACTGCCCAAAGTAATTTACAGATTCAATGCTATTCCCATCAAGCTACCAATGACCTTCTTCACAGAACTGGAAAAAAACACCTTAAACTTCATATGGAACCAAAAGAGAGCCCGCATAGCCAAGTCAATTCTAAGCAAAAAGAACAAAGCGGGAGGCATCACACTACCGGACTTCAAACTATACTACAAGGCTACAGTAATCAAAACAGCATGGTACTGGTACCAAAACAGAGATATAGACCAATGGAACAGAACAGAGGCCTCACAGGAAATACAACATACCCACAACCATCTGATCTTCGACAAACCTGACAAAAACAAGCAATGGGGAAAGGACTCCCTGTTTAATAAATGGTGTTGGGAAAACTGGCTAGCCATGTGCAGAAAGCAGAAACAGGACCCCTTCCTGACACCTTACACCAAAATTAACTCCAGATGGATTAAAGACTTAAACATCAGACCTAATACCATAAAAACCTTAGAAGAAAATCTAGGCAAAACCATTCAGGACATAGGTGTAGGCAAGGACTTCATGACCAAAACGCCAAAAGCAATGGCAACAAAAGCCAAAATAGACAAATGGGACCTAATCAAACTCCACAGCTTCTGCACGGCAAAAGAAACAGTCAGTAGAGTGAATCGGCAACCAACAGAATGGGAAAAAATTTTTGCAGTCTACCCATCTGACAAGGGGCTGATATCCAGAATTTACAAAGAACTAAAGCAGATCTACAAGAAAAAAACAAACAAGCCCATTCAAAAATGGGTGAAGGATATGAACAGATACTTTACAAAAGAAGACATACAGGAGGCCAACAAACATATGAAAAAATGCTCATCATCACTGGTCATCAGAGAAATGCAAATCAAAACCACATTGAGATACCATCTCACACCAGTTAGAATGGCGATCATTAAAAAATCGGGAAACAACAGATGCTGGAGAGGATGTGGAGAAATAGGAACACTTTTACACTGTTGGTGGGAATGTAAATTAATTCAACCATTGTGGAAGACAGTGTGGCGATTCCTCAAGGACCTAAAAATAGAAATCCCATTTGACCCAGCAATCCCATTACTGGGTATATATCCAAAGGATTATAAATCATTCTACTACAAGGACACGTGCACACGAATGTTCATTGCAGCACTGTTTACAATAGCAAAGACCTGGAACCAACCCAAATGCCCAACGATGATAGACTGGATAGGGAAAATGTGGTACATATACACCATGGAATATTATGCAGCCATCAAAAACGATGAGTTCACGTCCTTTATAGGGACATGGATGAACCTGGAAACCATCATTCTCAGCAAACTGACACAAGAGCAGAAAATCAAACACCGTATATTCTCGCTCATAGGCGGGTGTTGAACAATGAGAACACATGGACACAGGGAGGGGAGCACTACACACTGGGGTCTGTTGGGGGGAAATGGGGGAGGGGCGGGGGGTGGGGAGGTGGGAAGAGATAGCATGGGGAGAAATGACAGATACAGGTGAGGGGACGGAAGGCAGCAAAGCACACTGCCATGTGTGTACCTATGCAACAATCTTGCATGTTCATCACATGTACCCCAAAACCTAAAATGCAATAAAAAAAAAAAGAAAAAAAAAAAAAAACTCACCTCGCTTCACATCTGCTTCCACCATCTATCTGGAAAGAAAATTGCAAGGTAAAAAGAGCAGGCTTTTCAAACTTCTTTTAGCTTGGTGATTTAAACTATACAACTGAAGATGTCTTACAAAATAATTTACATTGAAAAATATTTTTTAATATAATTTGCTATTTTTTCTTAGATGAAGTACTTAAAATCAAGAATTACATAATTTGAAGTCTGCAAACATCCATGTTTTCTAAGGCAGGCTGTGTTTTCTAGAGGCAGGCTGACAAAGTGGGAGAGAAAAGATAGCAGTGAGTTGACTAGAGTACCGGAGGTAGTGATGCAGTGTAGTGTACAGGTTAGAAGGATAGGAAAAATTAACAGGACTTTGTGAGAGATCACATATAGAGGTGAGAGGGATAGAAATGAGGACAGGTTTGACCTTAGTCTACTCAGTAGGTTACAGAGGCATGGAATATACATATTATATATATATATATGGCAACCAACAAAATCATTCTAATCTTTGAGAAACACTGAAACATTCCTCTGTGTGAGTCTCATACAGCTATCCAGGAACTAGCTCTGGACTCAGTGTCCCAATTCCTGTGACCAGGTCTGACCCACTTATGTACTAAGCATGAAAGAATGGGAGTCCCTCCAGTTATCTGAAGGTCATTAACTTCTATCCAAGAATAATACCTGTTCTCTCCTCACCTAACACTAACCCTTTTAGAAGCCAAATGAGATGGTATGCACAAAAATGTTTTCTCATTCTCTAATCTTTCCCCTGTTGTGAATCTGGAATATTTCTTTCAACACAGTGAGACACACCTGAAATTCACCATTTCATGGCCCATCCCTGAATGCTCAGGAATGCTTTGTCAATTCCACCATGACTACTCCGCATATCACATCATATTCCAACCATGATTGACAGTGCTGTCCAAACATTGTGCTCATCCTCCTGCATTACTCATAACCACTCTGAAGTGGGGCACTCTCATTTGTCTTGGTGTTCTCCATGGCTATCAGGGTTGCAGAGCTGAAACGGCTCCATTTATAATATTTTAACTCATAACTCATGGATACAATGCTATGAACTTACAGGATGTAGTCACCATTGTATTGAAACACTCTCCTAGAGTATTTTGCTCAGTCTTATTTTTCTCTCCCTGGCTTCCTTCCCCATCCTTGATTTCAGATTATCTATGTGGCCAGAAATGCCAAGGATTGCCTGGTGTCTTACTACCACTTTCACAGGATGACTCCCTTATTGTATGATCCTCAGAACTTGGAGGAATTTTATGAGAAATTCATGTCAGGAAAAGGTGAGTGAAAACCAATTTTGTGGTACCCTCTTTCAGGAGACTTTAACAATAAGCACCTATGTAAACTAAAGTATAATCGTATGAAAGGCCATCCTGAGTGAAGAGGTCCTATCTTGGTAATGTGGAACTGGATAAGCCAGGTGGAAGAGGTATTTTTCCAAAATTGAATACAAATGTAAATTGAGATCAACTGGTTTCTTAAGTGTTGAGACAAAGGTAATCCCCAAAATCCTTGACCTGAGTTTCAAACAGTCAACTTCAAAATAAAAAGAGGAGACATTTTCTATGGAGAGACCTGGCAGTGGGAAGGCAGGAGGTGATTTCCTGTGGTTTTTCCCTAGCAGCATTATTGGACTGCTGGGCCACCACTTATGGTCACGAAAGTCATACACTGCACAGCCACAGAGAGCCTTTCCCACAGGACACAGTGCAAAGTCATAGCAGCCATGTCCCCTCATCCACTTACTAACAAGATCACACTTTCCAGAAAACCAGTGAACACATTAGGGCCACACTTGACAAAATAGTATTTGACTAGATTTGACCAGGTGTCAAATCAAATTGGCAAGGATCTCAACTCTTCACAGAAGAAGAATATCTCATGGAAACAACAATCTCTAGACAGAAGAGACAAGATGGCTACATAAGGAGATTTAGGATGTAAGGACCATCACATATTTGTTTGAGCTTTAATACAGAAACATGATGATAGTATTTCATTGTAATGCAGTAAGCAGACCTAGAAAAAGGGATGAAAATTACATGCTGTCTGCTCCATTTCATTAACCTCTCTAAAATAATTGGAACTTCCACAAGTGAAATGGCTGAGTTGTGATGTTGAGAGCTCCCAGTCCTTGAGCAACCTAACTACCCCTGAGCAAATGTCTGTCAGAGAACTGAGTTTCATTATAATCAATCCTGACCACAGCACTCATATTCTCTTGAGGGAAAAGAAGAATCAAAATGAAGTGACATCTGCAACATGAAAAACAGGTATCTGTGGAAAAGTCAATAAATAATAATTTGCATCAAGCATATCACTGCAGTGAATCAAGAGAGATAACCTCATTAGAACAATTTCTCTAGAAACATTTCAAAAAAAGTACTGACAGATGCAAAGAGAAAAATAGCAAATCTAGATAGGACTTCAGGTGAATAGGTTTCCAATATTTATGAAGAGAAGTTTTGAGAACAGGCATAGTAAAAGGAAGGAAAGGAAGAGAGGATCCAAGCTGCTTTTCTTGTATGATTTTTCCCAAGGCCGGAGGTGTGCCACTGTTTTTGTGTCATTTTGGCTGGACTGTGGCACCTACTTATTTGTGTTTAATCAAACACAAATCCTAGTGTTTCTGTGAAAGTATCAATTTTGTAGTTGTAATTTATATCTATATTCAGTTGACTTAAAAAAAGGAGATAATGTTAAATATTAATAATATGGGTGGAACTTATGCAATCAGTTGGAGGTCATAAGAGAAAAAAACTCAGGCTTCTGAAAGAAAGGATTCTGCCTTAGGACTGTTATAGCAAATCTTGTCTGAGTTTCCAGCATCCCCCACAGACTTCAAACATGCCAAGCTCCACAATTGTAGAAGCCAATTCCTGTAAATAAACCATATATACATAATTTATATTTTATCCGTATATACATATATACTATGATGTAGCCATTGCTTAAAATAAATTGTATATGTACACATATATATTATGCACATATATAAAACATGCACACATATACATACATATATGAGTCCCCTTTATACTTGGTTTCCCTTTCTGCAGTTTCAGCCATCCAAAGTCAGCCCCAATTCAAAAATATTATAGTATTTCAAGGGAAAAAAAGGATAGAAAGAGGGAGACTACATTTACATAAGATGTGACTATATTATAGAATATCGTTGTAATAGCTGTTTACTTTTGTTGCTATTCACTCGCAGTGCCTAATATATAAATTAAACTAACATACACATGTATGCATAGAAAAAAATATACACTATGATAATGTAATTTGGTACTATCTGTGGTTTCAGGTATCCACTGGGGATCATGTGATATATCACCTGTGAATAAGGGGCACTAATGTATTCTTCTCTGTATTTGTCTATTCTGTTTCTCTGGAGAACCTGGCTGACACAGATACCAGTCACCATGACACATGCCAAGGTTCAAGTCACTGCAAACCTACATCTCTCTTCATCCTGATTCAAAAGAGAGCATTTCACCTGCTTGCTCACTTGTTTTGTGGTCGTTTTACCTCTGGAGAATGTTTTCCATCATCCTTCAGACAAATCTTCCACTTAGCACAATGTTTGCAACATAGCTAACCCTCAATAAAGATAACTCCTGTGTTTATAATGACTACCCAGAACCAAACCAGGAAGCTGCCAGAAGTGACAACCTATCAGGAACACTAAAACATCACTGAAATAAAATATGGTACTGGCTAACTCAGATGTCCATTCATTCTCTTACCTACTGCTGAAAAGAAAATGCATTGCATGTTTATCACATAGACACAGCCTCAGGTGGAAACAGAAGTTCTCCTCGAGCCCACCTCTCTACTACTGCTGTATCTCTTTCAGAACAGGAACTTGCAAACTGCTTAGCACAGCTAAACAGGGAAAGCAGCAGGAGGATCCTAACCCTATATCAGATGGCCTGAATCAGTAATCCAATCGAAACTAAGCACTGTTTACCAGGAACAGGGGAAGTATTTTATTTCCTAATCTCTTAAGGTCTGTCTCAGGAAATCATCAATGTGTGCAAAGTCACATATAATAAATGTGTACTATAAATCTCTGCTTTACACCATAAGTATGAACAAATTTTATTAGTGGAAAATTACATTCACTTTGTTAAGTAACCAGAATGAAAATTACAGAAGCTTATTTCAAATGAGTGCTAATTTATTTTATAGCCTTGGGTTTTTTCCTGGTACCGGGAACTAATAGTGCTCTGACATCTTCTAGTTATTTGTGGGTCCTGGTTTGACCATGTGAAAGGATGGTGGGCTGCAAAAGACACGCACCAGATCCTCTACCTCTTCTATGAGGACATAAAAAAGGCAAGTGGCACTGAAACATACAGGTCAGACCCAGAAACCCTCCTGACAATGTCCATCTGTTAAACAAGCTGTCACTTTAATTGGCCAAGCTCTTCTTCTTTCCACCCTCCTCATAATGCCTTTTTCTTCCATGGTCAGAATCCAAAACAAGAGATCCTCAAGATTTTGAAATTCTTGGAGAAAACTTTGTCAGATGATGTTATAAACAAGATCGTCCACCATACTTCATTTGATGTAATGAAGTATAACCCCATGGCCAACCAAACTTCTGTACCTTCTCACGTATATGACAACTCCATCTCAAAATTCATGAGGAAAGGTTGGTGGCATTTCTTTTACTTAATTCAAAAAAATTTCTGCCCTATAATCTAAAATAATTTTAAACCTAATTTTCAGGAAGAAGTGACACATTTCAGTTAAACTATGAATCTCTGCTCCCTTCACCCTGCTTGTTTGCTGAAAGCCAATGTCAGTGGTTCTGAAACTTGAGTCATATTAGAACCCCTGGAGACCTTGCTAAAGCTCTGATTGCTGGTCCCCACTCTAAAATACTGTTTCCATAGGTCCAGGAGTAGCCCTCAAATTTGCCTCTCTCTCAAATTCTCAGGTGATGCTTATGGTGCTGATCACTTTGATTATAATACCCAGCCCAACCATGAACTCTCTGCTGAAGGCTTGTGCATCCTCTGAGCAGCTTTGGACACTCATCTTTATTCTATTCCTGTTGTACAAACCCTAGCATAGCACTTCGTACTTAGATTTGTAACTATTGGTATTCATGTCTGTCTCCAAAATAAGACGACGGGCTTCCAGAAGAGAAAGTTTGTTCAGTTTGTTCCACTAGAATCTAGTATAGAGACTCATAGCTCAAAAAACTCAATAAAGGCCTGTTGTGTGAGTGTATGGATGAATGAAGATTATTTCTGTTCTCAACAGTTTAACATTCTAGATAGATGCAGAAACAGCTGAAAGTTACAAAAAAGAAAGTAAAGTAGAGGCTACACTAGTAATTCCCTAATACCAGTTCTCCTGACTGTATCAAAATTACCTTTAAAAATAGAGACCCCATTCCTGAAGATTCCAGTTAACTAGTTGCAAGTTGGAATCTGGAATTTGACATTATGATGAAGCATTTCAGATTACTCTTCTTGTCAAAAGGCAGGAAACCAGTAGAAATAAAGCACTAGGATAATTTAGATAAACAATTTATTAGCTCAGCATTTGTTAGGCTGACAAGGTAAAACAGTTTGCAGAATATCGCTCATATCTAAATGTCACAGCTGGTAGATTTACTCTTCAATTTTGCCCAATAAGAAATATCTTCTCCAGCGAGGTTAATGACATTTTTTAAATGTTTCACTGTCCCTGAGAGATCAAGATAGGATGTTCCACCAAGAAGTCCATGATGATAGCCAGCTGTACACTTTGGGTTGGGTACACTAGAGCCTATTGTGAATAGGAGCAGAAGATTCAGCCCAGTGGAGCACCTCAGTGGGGCCTGCAGCATTTGAAGAAGAAATATAAGGATGCTGTGTGCCTTGTGGTAAGAAGGCCAAGTAGATTGAAAATGAGGGACCATTCATAGTGGGAAGACCAGGTGGAGTGGGACTGAGGAACCCTCACTCATGGGAAGATCGTGTAGGTAGATTAGAAAACACTCACAATAGAAAGGTTAGGTGGAATGGATGCAGAGTCTGTCATGAACTTTTTTGATGTCCTACAGGGATGCCAGGAGACTGGAAGAACCATTTTACTGTGGCTATGAATGAGGATTTTGATAAGTATTACGAGAAGAGGATGGCAGAAACTACACTGACCTTCTGCACAGAGATCTGAGTAGGAAAAAACAAAATAAGAAACAGAGTCTGTGCCAACTATTTTGCTTTTTATTCTGTTAGGAAAGGAACTTGATGAATGTGGAGCTTATGAGCTTCAATCCCTGTCTCCTATAGTGTGGCTAGTCTGCTACAATATTAAAACATGATTTGAAATATTAACAAATCAGCTACTCCTATAAATAAAATATGAGGAATAGAGAACAGAGTCTGCCTATGTGAGTCGTTTTTTTAGTACAGGTATGTTTTACTGGGCATGACAGATAAAGCAAAACAAATCATTGCATCATGCATTCCCATGTATGATCCCCAGTACATTTCACAAGAAAATCATCCATAGGTGTTATGAGCCTCATTAAGAGAAAATGCAATGCCTTGGAATGATTATTCTATATTTTTACACATAAATAATAACTTCCAAGAGAAAAGAGCTGAAAGTAGTTTTCAGAGTCACAATATATGTAATACAATAATATCAAAATAAATTACTACTGAAAAAATCAATCAATTGGAAAATGATTATTCCTCTAAATTTATCTTGTAACTAATTTTTTAATAAAAGAGTTTGAATTAGACAAATCAGGTAGTGAGTTCCCCTGAAAAAAATCTTCCCATGATATTAAAAAAATTGATTAATGTAACTGATCTATAAATTGAGGTCAGAGACAAAAGCATCATGACTCTGCATTACTATTTCTCTTAATAAAGAGTCTCTGTATATTTTTATATAAAATTATAAATTATTTGATATCAAAATTATGCAGTCAATATTAGATCAATGAGACAGAACATTAACAAGGTTATCCAAAATTTGAACTCAGATTTGGACCAAGGGGACCTAATAGCTACAGAACTCTCCTCCCCAAATCCATGGAATATGCATTCTTCTCAGCACCACATCACACTTACTCTAAAATTGACCACATAATTGGAAGTAAATCACTCCTCAGCAAATGCAAAAGAATGGAAATCAGAACAGCCACTGTCTCCAACCACAGTGCAATCAAATTAGAACTCAGGATCAAGAAACTCACTCAAAACCACACAACTACATGGAAACTGAACAACCTGCTCCTGAATGACTACTGGATAAATAATAAAATGAAGGTAGAAATAAAAATGTTCTTCAAAACCAATAAGAACAAAGACACAATTTAACAGAATCTCTGGGACACATTTAAAGCATTGTCTAGAGGGGAATTTATAGCACTAAATGTCCAAATGAGAAGTGAGGAAAGATTTAAATTGACACCCTATGGTCACAATTAAAAGAACTAGAGGAGCAAGAAGAAACAAATTCAAAAGCTAGCAGAAGACAAGAAATAACAAAGATCAGAACAGAACTGAAGAAGAGAGACACACACAAAAAACCCTTCAAAAAAATCAATAAATCCAGGAGCTGGTTTACTGAAAAGATCAACAAAACAGATAGACTGCTACCCAGATTAATAAAAAAGAAAAGAGAGAGGAATCTAATAGATGCAATAAAAAACGATGAAGGGGATATCACAACTGATCTCACAGGAAAAAAAAAAAAAAAACTACCATCAGAGATTACAATAAACACCTCTATGCACATAAACCAGTAAATCTAGAAGAAATGGATAAATTCCTGGACACTTACACCCTCCTAAGACTAAACCAGGAAGAATTTGAATTCCTGAATTGAACAATAACAAGGTCTGAAGTTGAAGCAGCAATTAATAGCCTACCAACCAAAACAGTCAAGGTCCAGACAGATTCACAGCCAAATCCTACCAGATGTACAAAGAGGAGCTGGTACCATTCCTTCTGAAACTATTTCAAACAATACAAAAAGAGGGAATTCACCCTAACTCATTTTATGAGACCAACATTACCCTGCTACCAAAACCTGGCAGAGACACAACTAAAAAAGAAAATTCAGGCCAATATCCATGATGAACATGGATGCAAAAATCTTCAATAAAATACTGGCAAATCAAATGCAACAGCACATCAAAAAGCTTATTCATCACAATCAAGGAGGCCTCATCTCCGGATGCATGGCTGGTTAAACATATGCAAGTCTATAAACCTAATCCACCACATAAACAGAACCAAAGACAAAAAACACATGATTATCTTGATAGATGCAGGGAAAACCTCTGAAAAAATTCAACAGTCCTTTATGCTAAAAACTCTCAATAAACTTGGTATCAATGGAATGTATCCCAAAATAATAAAAGTTATTTATGACAAACCCACAGTTAATATCATACTGAATGGGCAAAACTGGAAGCATTCCCTTTGAAATTGGTCACTCGACAAGGGTGCCCTCTCTCACCACTCCTATTCAGCATAATATTGGAGGTTCTAGCCAAACAATCAGGTAAGGAAAAGAAATAAAAAGTATTCAACTGGGAAAAGAGGAAGTCAAATGTCTCTATTTGCAGATGGCATGACTGTATATTTCAAAGGCCCCATTGTCTCAGCCCAAAATCTCCTTAAGATGATAAGCAATTTCAGCAAAGTCTCAAGATACAAAATCAGTGTGCAAAAATCACAAGCATTCCTATTCACCAATAACAGACAAACAGAGAGCCAAATAGTGAGCAAACTCCTATTCACAATTGCTACAAAAATAATAAAATACCTAGGAATACAATTAAAAAACAATGTGAAGGACATCTTCAAGGAGAACTATAAACCACTGCACAAGGAAATAAGAGAGGACACAAACAGATGGAAAATAATTCCATGCTCATGGTTAAGAAGAATCGGTATTGTGAAAATGGCCATACTGCCCAAAGTAATTTATACATTCAATGCTATCCCATCAAGATGCCATTGACCTTCTTCACAGAACCTGAAAAAAAAAAAAAAAAAAAACCTTAAACTTTATATAGAAGCAAAAAAGAGCCCTAATAGCCAAGACAATCCTACACAAAAAGAACAAAGCTGGAGACATCATGCTACCTGACTTCCTACTATATTACAAGGCTACTGTAATCAAAACAGCATGGTACTGTTGCCAAAACAGAGATATAGACCAATGGAACAGAACAGAGGCCTTCAGAAGTAACACCACACATCTATAACCACCTGATCTTTGACAAACCAGACAAAAACAAACAATGGCGAAATAATTCCCTGTTTAATAAATGGTGTTGGGTAAACTGGCTAACCATGTGCAGAAAGCCGAAACTGGACCTGTTCCTTACATGTTATATAAAAATCAACTCCAGATCAATTAAAGATTTAAACTTAAGACATAATACCACAAAAGCCCTAGAAGAAGACCTAGGCAATACCACTCAGGACATAGGTACAGGCAACGACTTCATGACTAAAACACCAAAAGCATTGGCAACAAAAGCGAAACAAAAGGGACGTAATTAAACTTAAGAGCTTCTGCACAGCAAAATCAACTATCATTACAGTGAACTGGCAGCCAATAGAATAGGTAAGATTTTTGCAAGCTACCCATCTGACAAAGGGCTAATATCCAGAATCCACAAAGAACTAAAACAAATTTATGAGAAAAAAACAAACAACCCCAACAAAAAATGGGTAAAAGGTATGAACAGAAAGTTTTCAAAAGAAGGCATTTATGCGGCCAACAAACATATGAAAAAATGATCATCATCACTGGTTATTAGAGAAATGCAAATCAAAACCACATTGAGATACCATCTCATGCCAGTTAGAATGGCAATCATTAAAAAATCTGGAGACAACAGATGCTGGAGAGGATGTGGAGAAATAGGAATACTTTTGTACTGTTGATGGGAGTGTAAGTCATTGTGGAAGACAGTGTGGCTATTTCTCAAGGATCTAGAAACAGAAATACAATTTGGCCCAGCAATCCTATTACTGGGTATATACCCAAAGGATTATAAATCATTCTATTATAAAGACACATGCAAATGTATGTTTATTGTGGCACTGTTTACAATAGCAAAGATGTGGAACCAACTGAAATGCCCATCAATGATACACTAGATAAAGAAAATATGGCACATATACACCATGGAATGCTATGCAGCCATAAAAAATGATTAGTTTATGTCCTTTGCAGTGACACAGATGAAGCTAGAAACCATCATTCTCAGCAAACTGTCACAAGAACAGAAAACTAGACACCATATTTTCTCACTCATAAGTGTGTGTTGAACAATGAGAACACATGGACACAAGGAGGAAAACATCACACACTGGGGCCTGTTGGGGGGTGGGGGAGATAACAGGGGTGAGGAGATTATGGATGGATAACATTAGGACAAATACCTAATGTAGGTGACAGGGGATGGATGCAGCAAACACTATGGTATGTGCATACCTATGTAACAACCCTGCATGACCTGCACATGTACCCCAGAACTTAAAGTATAATTAAAGGAAGAAAAAGAAAAAAGACAGGATCTATACCTTTACATATTTTACATAAGTACTACATTTAATCATTAAAAATAATTATTTAGGAGGAAAGCAGAGCAAGATGGTAGGATCTAAGGCTCCACCAATGGTCTCTCCCACCACCACAACAACACCAAGTTAACAACTATCTACACAGAAAATAAAAACGCCTTCATAAGAACCAAAAATCAGGTGAGCACACATACTATCTGGTTTGAACTTCATGTCACTGAAAGAGGCATCAAAGAGACAGAAAAAAACTCTTGAATCATCAATGCCACCCTCCCCAACCTGATGCAAGGTGTGGCTATTACTCTGGGCGCAGGGGGAAGGAGAACACAAGAATTGTGAGGAACTGAACTCAGTGCTGTCATGTAAGAGCAGAAAAGAAAACCAAACCAAACTTACCTGACACCTGCACATGGAGGGAGCATTTAAACTAGTCCTAGCCAGAGGAAAATTGCTGATCCCAGTTGATTGAAGTTTAGTGCCTTCAAACCTCACCATCCAGGTCTACAGCACTCTGTCTGCTAGTAAATTTGAATGTCAGTCTATGCCATAAGAACTACAACTTTTAGATGAGTCTAGTGCTGACCTAGGCCCAGAGACAGTGAACTGGGAGCA